GTCCTTCATGTTAACCTGTTATCAAGTAAAATAGTTTTAAAATTAAATTAAATTCTCCACTAGTTGTTTTTATTTGACATATGAACAAATTATATTACATGTAACTGTGGAACTTTCTGTCATTTAAACTAACCTGTTCATAATTCAAAAACACAGCAGTTGTGAAGTTTTTCCCTGCCCAGTCAAGGAGAGCTGATGATTTTTCTGGCTCCATGTACACCAATACACATTCAGCTATGAATATTGTGGGAAGGCTACAATACAGAGATATTGCTTAGATAACCAGTTAGCTTAGCATTGGATTGTATTTGTTCATGCAAAGATATACCTCCTATCTAAAGCAATACTATTGAGTTGCAAGTCAATCATACTGACGTCTCTAAGGTCTGCAGCAAGCAAATGGTAGCAAGTGGAATGAACCTCCCTCTTTCCTATTGATATCAATCAATCAATCAATTAATCAATCAATCAATCAATCAATCAATCATTCATAATTCAATCAATCAATCCAGCAATCCATCCATCAATAAATCGATCCATCAAAATCAATCAATCTACCAATCAATCCATCTGTTCATCAATCAATCATATCAATGTTTTACCAATTTGAAGATTATCTTCTGGTTTAAAAACCTCTTGTAGCTGTTTTCTTGACCTGTCATATGGTATACCACAGTATGTTACAAATTAACAATAATAAAGAGCTGTCAAAATATCATATACCAATCATCAAAAACCCCTACATACTTTATACAAAAACATTTTCTATCTACAACTGCATTAAGGTCAATTTCCACAAATACTTTAGGAGCTATATCCTTTTCCTGGAATAAGAAATATAAAGGATTCATTATTGCTAAAAAGATAAAGGAATATTTGAAAGGTTATTAATCAACATTGAATGTACCTTGAGTTGCCAAAAGAGGGTATCAAAACCAGCTCCTAAACTAATAACTTGACAGTTAGATTCTGTCATTTCCAGGAATTGTTCCAGTAAATAACTAATGCCCTTGGTTCGTGCATAGTATCCTGCAAGCAGAGTGTTTAAATTAGAAATATGGCCTTATTACATGAGGAGTGTGCAAAGTCAAATTGGAAAACATGCAATTAGGCAATTGAAGCAATGATCATCAAATGAAACTGCTATGATCGACTACTATAATGCTGTTCAGCAGTCAGAGTTAGTGGTCCTTTGCAGTTGTGCAGAACTGAATATATTGTTTACTTGCTTGATGCTTGATGAAGGAGATTAAAGCTTTTTCAGCTTAATTTGCTGACCACCATTTCTTGATAACCATATGTCAAAATAACTTTGCTATGACAGATATCAATGTGACAAGTACAAGGTGGTAAGCCATGGGTGATGGTTACCATGSCTACTGTCTAATTGACAGGGGTGTGTGTTCTTATGTGGTGGTTTAAAGACACCCACAACCAGAACTGATCAGTGCTGATTGCTTTAAATCTAGGCAAAGTTGACTGACATTTAGCTGTTTTAGCAAAATCATGGAAAATACTTTTAAAAGTTACAAAGCACAAAAAGTTAACCTCTGTTTATCTCTGGAGCTTTTCTCTCRCCAAGCTTTGCAAAGAACTGAATGTATTTGTCTTGCCAGTATCCAACATGAACAGCAAATCTAAAAAAACACGATACATTAGTAGCTCACAGTCTGATCAAATATTTCGCAACCGAATCAGCTAATGTGCAAACAGAAATGATTAGAAAATAACAAACATTTACCTTTTGCAATTAGTCGCATCATTATTTGTAGCAATTACAGCCTCATCTTGTGTCTGACTCATGATACAATCATCGRGTACAATGGACAGATTTTTAACAACATGCTACGCTTCATCCTTTTCGTCCGCCATATTTGTTTTTAGCATTCAACACAGGAAGCCCGCTATTCACACAGGAAGCCCATAAATATCTTCTCTCATATTCTAAGTAATCTACATTCTTTTTTTCATCTGAATATTTTCAGCAGAAAAATGTAGTTTATCGTAGTTTTCTGTGCTTATTATCTGCAACTTTAATTATAGTCTTGGAACATATCCATCATTGTTTGTTTTCAGGATGATTATGATGAGCTTACGCTGTAGCTGCAACAGAAATATTCAGTCTTAAGGGAGTTATCATTATATTTATTGGGGGGGGAGGGGACTAAATTTGTGGGGAGGGCCACATTTTTTTGGATGTGTGTTGTGGGGAGGGTTGAATTTTTTAAAATGAGCTTTATGGAAGGGTCACAAATTGTGGACTGGAGACAAATAAGCAAGAATAATGCTTCTAATGTGTTTATCTTAAAACTCTCATCAAAAAGTYGCTTTGTTTTCAGAGTAGTTTGGAATTGAATAGACTCTTATTCTCTGTGGCACTGACATAATACTGTACTATAAGTCAAACAAGAGCAGACTTGTCAAAATTATAGTTTAATAATAAACCAAACATGTTTTATCCTTTACAAGATGGTGTAGCTCCAGGAGTTYTGCGCACCTTATGATCAGACTCTTTTTCACTCTAATTATGAGTTGCAAAAACCCCTGTAGAAACCATTGTGTTCTCATAATCCCTTTGTTACTTAAGATTCTTTCTTGACAYCTTCCTTGTCTTCAGGTTTATGCTTTCTTGGTATAAAGGATGGAATTATAATAAACAAAACTATAATAATATGACCAATAAAGTAAAGACTTTTCCATGCAGCAAGGCAAGGTCCTAGTTGTAATAGCATGAACCCACAGCCAGTGTARTCCATTGCACGATATAAACAAAAATAACTACACCAGTCGTAGACATAACATAACTTTGCGGACAAGTAAGGTTTGATAGACTTTGACATGCGGTACTCTGAGATGACAATCAGTGGAACACTAAGGAACGTYAGGTAATAGCCTGGAGCCACACCATGCCAGAATGCACTCACTAATAGAGTYAAAAATAATCTGAAATAAAAATAAAAATAAACAGAGTTTATAAGAACGCCATAACAATCTGGATAACAGCAATAAAATTCAATCCTTTTGAATCACAACAAAATGAATACAGTACTATCTTTATAAATAATTCAAAATAGATGTAAGAAAAAAAAAGGAAATTCTACTGCTCTAAAGTTTAGTTGCTTGTGGGTTGGTCAAGTGYATTCATCCTTGATTTACCTGACATTTTTGTTGGTGAAWGGTAGTTTTCTGTGAACAAACACTGAAATCCACCACTGGACTGTCATGTTCCAGTCTTTCATAATCTTTGACATGGCAGGTGAAAACTCTACCTCTAATATCCTGATATTGTGAATGGTCTCAAAGCTGTAATATAATATACATGTATATGTGTTACTCAAACATCTTATAACAAATTAACTCAATTCAACTACCAGGTACCTGTGAGTATCTYCAGTATCATCCCCTTCTGTTTCTTTCTTCTCTACAGTCCCATTGGTTGTAGGTATAGGTTTTGTAGGACCCAGTCCAGGTTTAGGATCAGTCTCAAAAGGATAAGCACCAAGCCCTAGCATCATACAGCTGCTTTCAGCCAACAACCACCCAATGTAAAAACGCCAACGAAAACCATTAAAAGCAGGTACAAGGTATGCTAAATGATATGCCAGGCCCCAAGGATGATTGACATAAGCCTTGGTACCGATATGACTGACAGGGAAATATACACTCATTATAAGGTACAAGATTCCCCAGAGAGGAAGTTCTTTAAGGCGCCTTACAGCCGGATAAAATGTGGCTATTTTCTCAGGATGTTCTTGGTCTAAGAAGTCACGATAGGTCTTGTAGCGATAGTAAGGGCCAGTCATCAAACCACAATAGCAGTAACAATAGCTTAAAAACTCATAAAATGAAGGTGTTGATGTAGCAGCATCTTTATTTTTGGTGATGTCAGGATCAAAAATCTCAAAGGGAAGAGTACAAAGCTGGAAGAGAAGACATTTTGTATACATCGTACAGTATACAAGATTTTTCTGAGTAAACAGAATGGYAAAAAGGTAAACMTACCCTAAGTGTTATCAGCAATTGAACAGCATTTGAGTACATGGGAGGTTTTGTAAAGCCAAACTGACTGCAAGTTCTAAAGAAAAACAAATACCCAAATACAAACAGAAAAGCTGGCCATTGACAGCGCCTGAAACAACAAAATAGAAAGACACATTTGACACATTAATATAATTAATGCTACTTTTGAGACTACAGTCCAAAAAAATATCTGACATTAGACATTAGATTGTCTAGTGATGTGTGTAGGCCAGTGAAAGGGATGCTGGGGGCATAAGGTATGGAATTTAGTACTTTTTATTTACGCATACGAAAGGTCACACGATATTTAATTGACCAATGAAATTGCAGGAAAACGCCCACAAAAGCATGAGCTTTGAGACACCGTGACAAATCAAATTAGATTGCAAGCGATTATTAAAGATAAGTGAATTATAAAAACGAAAATTGAGATTGGTCTAATAGGTAATGATTTGAAGTCAAATCGAAGTGAAACAAATGGTCAACTATCTTGTAGAAGATAGACTGGAATCGCTCAAACTCTGAATCGTGACGTCAGTTSAAGCTTCGTTACCCAGGCARTCTACTATAACACTACCACTTCTAGAAATTTAACGAATCARCACCAAAACTTATCATTATAATAAAATTATAAATTTGAGTATTTTGCGCGGCTGTTATACCGACAAAACTGCATTTTTGCATGAGCTTATGACAAGCTGACCCTTGTCTCCTCATATCCAAGATTAGGCAAGATGAGTAGACAATACAGTAAATATCAGGACCTACCTTGGTCCTAGCAGTACCACGATGATGTATGTACCAACGACCACAGTTAAGGAATGCCATATTCCAGTGCCTAAGAGGCAGACAGTTAGAGCAAGACCTGCTAGAGTACACAACAATTGTTTTCTTGCCGGCGAGCCACACAATTTAATGGCATGTCCTATTGGGATTGAAACCAGGAGCATACTTAGATACAACAAATCCTCCCGGGACATATTGGTAGGAAGTAAAACACTTGATTAATTAAAAAGTAAAGCGAAAAAACTGCTCCAGAATTTGATCCAGACCGATGGAGTATGTCAGAAGAAAGCACCTTCGACGGTCTATCAACCAATCATTACGCACCACAGGGAACCCGGTAACTATGCCAACGGTTCTAACCATAACCATGGGAAATATTGATGCTGGATTTCTTTTGTTCTTTTAGATCGAAATTTAGATGTGCATCTACTAAGTAATAACTCACTGTGGCCAAATCCTCTTGGAATGACTGATAAATGACAGAAAAAAAGAAAAGAAAGAAAGAAAGAAAGAAAAAAAAAAATGGTCAAGGTGACCTCCACCTGGCCCTACCCGTAGGGTACACTCCACTCTCTCTACCACAATGCACCAGTAAAAAAGCGATATCAGAACAAAAGACAGCGAAAAAAATGCCAAAAACAACAACAAACCAATTCAAATAATTTTTAAGAAATTATAAAAACACAAGAGAATCATCACCATCATTTTCCATGTCAGTATTAAATACTAAAGAAATAAATCTGAAATCTGTATTGTGATCACAATTATTATGATTTCTTATAGTAAGATATCACACCATATGTCCATCAAAAATAAATATTTTATTCTCTTTTTGAAAGAGCTGTTTCTATAAAAACGTGCTTGCTTTGACATAATTTTGAAAATGGTCAATTTCAGAATATACAAAATAAAGGATGCCAACCTTTAAATAACCATGACATATGATATCTTTACAAATATAATGTACAATTTGAATGTGCGAACTCTATGAACAACAATGTACAACTCAAGTTATATAAAACCGTTTTTTTCCTAAAATTTGCAATGTTTTATGTTGGCTTCACTTTCCCTTTTTTGCCCACTTGTTTATGTGGATCTTGGATTGCAACTTCAAGAGTTTGTGGCTGAAAAATATGAATTGACTGTTAGTTTGAATCAGCAATGCGACAGTCAGTGAGTCAGTCAGTGATTTATCTAGTCATTTAATGAGTCAGTTAGTTGAGCAGGGAGTCTGAGTCAGT